GCGGTGCTTCGTGTAGTCGACAAATGTTTATTGGGCTCTTACTCAATTCCAGGTGCAGTTAATACAGAAGACAAAAATCTATTCCTTCATGGAGCTCACTTTTTACTTAGAGGAATCAGACAATTAGCGAAATAAATAAGATATATGTGAGAAGGTGGTAAGTATTATGAAGGAAATGGAAGTAGGAAAAGGGGTTGGACAGTACGTGTGTGTGTGTGCGCGCGCGCGCGCAATTTTAAAATAAGTAGCTAGGAGAGACCTCCCTAAGAAGGTGACATTTGAGTAGAGAGGTGAAGCAAGTTAGGGAGCAAGTTCAGCCAAGGGCAGCACTGTGCCTGTTTCGTTCCCAGAGCATCTAGGAGGCCAGTGGAGATGGAGAGAGCCAGGAGGTGAGCATGGTGGAGTCTGATAGTGCAGGATCTGGTGGGTCACTGTAAGGACTTTGGCCCTTACATGAGATGAGAACCGTGACAGGGCCCTGCTCAGAGGAAGGACTCCAACCAGGCTCCAACCAGGGTGGCAGTCCCCAAGGTGAGGTGAAATGGTCCCCGAGGTGAAATGGAACTGGGTATAGGACGTGAGAGAAAAAGAGAAGTCAAGGATGACTCTAGTGTCTTTGGCTGGAGTAATGGGAAGGATGGAGCTGTCAGAAGCAAAGATGTGCAGGGCTGCAAGATCAAGAGTTCGAGTTTGTCCAGACTCGAGAGGCCGAGTAGTCACCCAAATACAAGTGTCAGGTAGGCAGTTGGATATTTGAGTCTCAACTTCAACTCCAGGGGAGAGGTTCAGTCTTGAGATAGGAATTTAGGAGTTGCCAGTGGATAAATGACATGTAAGTCTCTAAGACTGGGAGAGATTAGCAAGGGAGCAAGTGTAGATAGACAAGCAGTCCACGGCTTGAGGCTCAGGCACTCCGTGCAGAGGGCTGGGGCCAGCCACAGAGGCTGGGGAGAAGCAGTCAGTGAAGCACCAGGAAATTGAAGGCTGTCCACCGCCCTGAAGGCCAAGTGAAGGGCACAAGAGGGGTCAACGATGCCAAATGCTGCCTGAAAGCCGAGTCCAATGAAGACAGAACTGACCACGGGGGCTAGCGAAGTGGAAGTCACCAGTAATCTTGAAAAGGGCCACTTTGGTGGTTTGTTGTGGGCAGTAGCTTGACTGGGTGGGTTCAAGAGAGGGCTCAGAGCCAGTGTAGGTGATCCTTTGTAGCACAGGAATAGGATGGTATCTGAAGGGGACGTGGGATCTCGAGAGGTTTATTTCAGATGGGAGATGTAACGGCGCGTTGTGTGCCAGTGGGAATGATCTAGAAGGGGGGAAATGGATGCTGCAGAGGAGGGAGAGGACAATTGCCGGAGCAATGTCCTCGAGCAGGCACGGCGAGTGGGATCCGGCGCCCAAGTGGAAGGTGGTCTAAGGGGCATGGGCTGTTCGGCCATGGTGAATGGCGGGAGGAAGCATATGGGCATGGAGCCAGGCAGGGGGTGAGATGTGGTGTCAAGAACACATGACCATTCTCTTCTGGTTCCTTATGTTGTCTCAGTAGAGTAGGAAGCGGAGTCAGGGGTGAGAGGGAGGTGCCGAGGTTAGGGGAGAGAGAGAGGAGGAAGCGTGAACTAGCTCATGGCCAGGGAAAGGTAGACACATAGAACCAATCATTGGGTGTGAAATCAAAGTGACATGAGTGCCCGTGGCTGTGCGTTTTTTTTTTTTTCCTGGCCATATTTTTCTGAGCAGGAGCAGGTGTAGAATGGGTGGCAAGCTGACATTTACCAGGGCTGGGTTTATACGAGGTCTCACCGTGTTCCCTAAAAGGCGACAGGGTCCAGGCGTCAGGGGCAGAGGTGAGGTGTGTGGAGTTCTGTAGGTGCCGGTGTGTTGAGACAGGGTGCAGGAGGTCAAAGGGCAAGGCACCTGGGATGAGGGTGAATCAGGAAGGTGTTCTAAGGCATGCTTTCCAAACTGCAGGTCCTGACCTATTAGTGGGTCCAGAAAAATACTTAGTGGGTTGCGACCGGCATTAAACAAAACAGAATAGGAAAATATCAGAATACATTGTACGTGGTTAGGTAATTCTTGCTCCTAGGAACCTTTGCTTCAGGTGTGTCTTTTCCGAGGTTGCTGAGACACATCACAGGATAGCGGAAACTGCTTCACTCTGGAGCCAGAGCGTCTGGGTTCAAAATCGCCCACTTACTTGTTCTATAACCTTGGACAGGTCACGTCACTTCTCTGGGCCTTGGTTTTCCTCTCTGTAAAATGAGGCTTAACCCTAGCATCTACCTCATTGGAGTGTCAGGAGTCTTCACTAGGTCACTATGTATTCGATCAGTTCTTGCCATGTAATAATTGCCTCGTTAGTTTTACTAAGACTCTTCTTTTGTGAACTTTTGTTTCGGAGATTCACTTTTGTGAAGTGAATTTGTCCTTGTGTGTTGCCACAAAAGGAACTGAGTCCAGGGGAGGAAAGTGTCAGCTCTGTTCTGTAAACTCTTCCAACTCACTGAGTCAGGCCCACCCAGATTGTCTAGGGTCATCGTACTTAAAGTCAACCAAGTATTGACTTCAGTCACATCTACAAAATACCTTCACGGCAACACCGAGGTTCGTGTTTGAATAGCGGGGGACCGTATTTCATAATAGCCTCGCCACGCTGGCGTTATCAAACGGAGCATCGCAACCACAGACGTAATCAATAAATAAGCAGATCCTGGATATATTTTGAGGGTAGAGCTCACAGGATTTCCTGAGGGGGTGTGCAATTCCGTTTTGGACGCGATGAGACATCCAAGTGGATATGTGGTAGGTAGTTGTATACGAGAGCGGAGTCTGGGAGCGAGGGTTGCACTGTTAGAAGGACTGAAAGAAAGAAGGGAGGGAGGGAGGAAGGGAGGAGACAAAAGGGACAGATCTAAAGAGCTAAACCTAAAAGTGCTCTCTCAGCGTGCTCAGTGTGGATTAAACGCAAAGAGACTGTAGTCTACGGCCACGCCACCCTGAACGTGCCTGATCCCGTGTGATCTTGGAAGCCAAGCAGGGTCGGGCCTGGTTAGTACTTGGATGAGAGACCACCTAGGAAGACCAGGTGCTCTAGAAATAAAAATTAAGCAATAAGTGATTGTAAGCTGACAAGGTCCTTGCAATCTGTGAGGTCAACCAAGGGTTGCCTCGCCTAAAATCAATCGATCGATCAATAAAAACAGACTTTAGTTAATGGAGCTACCTTTCCTTCTGGTTTGTG